TAAATATAATTATGCTTGAGCACTATTACGATCACTTGCTAATCACATTGAGATTGACGCTTGAGAGCGACCATAATGGAGTTATATTACTATGAGGCTAGACTTCAACTATTCTTATACATGCAAGATGATCTAATTTCAGGGACTGAAGCAAGTACGATATTACTACGCTTATATTAATCCTCACTTTTCTCGTTATCAGTCTAAAAATTAACACATGTAATAAAATTTCAAACTTGATTACACACTCGTTTACAAGAAGGTACAGCATTGTCATGATTTCCGATACTTTAACATTTCAGAAGTATATATTACTCAAATAAATAAATTTTATATATTCGTGCCTATATTGAGTGGGAAAGATTTGTTATTCCGACAATTTATTTATTCGGTGATCTTTTAGGTTAACCATAATTTAACTAGTAAGATGTTTTATTCAACACTTTATATGACCATGTGATTTTTCTTTGATATTTTTTGCAGTACATAGTGTGACATTAACACTATGAAAAAATTTCACGTTATTTTTTCATCCGCCCAATATTGGTGTTATCCGGCAATTTATGATTGATTGGTAGTGAGTTGCTCGCTGAGTTTTAATTTTGAATACTGGAATAAACATAATTACATAGTAACACATGAAAAAAATAACAAACCGAAATTTTTTCATGATCGCATGAGTTTGCCGGATAACTAAATTTGTTCGATAAATTATAAACTTTAGAGACTGCAGTCCGGCATTCTTTTAGCAGCACTCATCTTATTCACTAGATATGAAAAAAAATTTAGTAGTGGCAATATGAAAATTAAGTTATATCTTACGTTTGTATCAATCACGGATTTTGTCAATTATTATTCGACCTGAGTAATTCTTTAATTTTCACCAATTAAAAAAACTTTACCGGTACTTATTTTTATTTTTGTAAGGTTAGTTCTATTAGGTATATGTATCAAATACGAAAGCGTGAGAAAATTAAAATATTAAGTAACAATTGAATTATTAAAGTGATAAATTTTGAGATTCTGGCCCAGTCAACTAGGATTTTGGTGAATCCTGACCCGGAGTTTTGGGAATAATTAGCTTCAAACATTTCGGATTGGTTATAAACTTTGGGCTGTTATGGATATTTCGGAATTATCAGATATTTCGGAAAATTAAATGCCGGGCGAAACCAATATCGCCCTATTTCGGATTCGGATTTGACGAAATAGTTTGGTTTCGCCCGAAACACTACTATTTATGTAATTAAAAAATAACATGTTCTAGAAAAACCTAGTTCAAAACACTAACACATAGTTTCGAATTCTCCATGTGCTAAAATGAAGTGCGAGAAGAACAATTGCTTTAACATGGTGTGAACACTAAATTTCTAAAAAAGAATGTATACTACATTTGTATTGTAATTTACGTATCCATTACACATGCTTTAAACTATTTTTTTTTTACATGCTAGTATATTTTGTCAAGAATTGTAAAAACATCCTCTTTTACTCGGTTAATCTCAGGAGGTTCGGAAGTTTGAGGAAGAGGCGATGAAGCTGGGGAGGGTGTGGATTGACGAGTTATTGCCTTTTTTGCAATTTTTTCGTTAAGCATTAACAATGTATGCTATTGATACAATATTAATACATAATCCACAAAATAAAAGACAAGTATCAACAATATAAAAAAACATACTCTAAATCCCAGGAGGTTCTTAATAAATGGTCTCAATAAATATTCCATTGCCGACAAAGATTTTGGGAGAACTAACGTAGCAACTTCTGATAAAAAATAAAAATTAGCATCATAATTATATGATAGGCAATATATTATCCACTTATGACCTATAAATTTTGTTGAAACAAAGGTGAGCAAAATATTTATCTAGATGAAATATTGAATAGAGCTACGAAAAATTCTTCACACCAGTTATTTGGATTCCCATAACAAATATTTCAGCTATGTCTTTCTTTTTAAAATGAAGCTCATCACGAAAATTGTCCAACATGTCTTTTAGTTCCATTTTTAATGCTGTATGATCTTCTCGTAGTTTCAAATCATCATTGTCCACCTCAGTATTACCAACTTCCACAGACACTAATTCAATACCATAATTCCGAAGTTCTACAACAACATCCATTTTAATAGACTCATTTCCAAATTTAACATATTCAGCATGGATTTTACGCCTTTTTCTAGTTTGCACCGCTTTAGATATTTTTTCAATCCTATATATTAGATTATAAAATTTCAACATCTAACTAAAAATAAATAATAAATATAAGATATAAAGATGACATACCAATATGTTTGAAAAAGACCACTATCATATTCCTCTAACAAATCAGTTAAGATAGGAGACAAAATTTTTATTATATAGTCTCTTTCTCGAATCGGATGAGATAATATGTTGATTTCACGTCTAAAACACTTATGACTATACAAAAAATAACAGAATATGCTTAATTGAGTCAAAAAAAAATAAAAATAAAAAAATAATAACATACAAAAATGAAACAATTTCAGCTGATAAATTTCCATCTTCTGATCCGATATTCAAAAGTTTATCTTTTAACTGTTTTAAACCATCTAAATTTCTCTATAATATAAGTATTATAAAATAATTAATCAATTATATAATGATAATATATCAAAGTAAAATGATACAAATATAAAAGCAATAGAACTTACAATGTTAATCTCAGAATTATCAATTAAATTAATCACATTTTTATCAATTTGATCATTCAATAGTTTTTGTCGACAAAATCTAAATAAATTCGCTTTATCTTCAGTTTTCAGAATTCTTGACCACTCAACACTTGACCAATTAGTTAAATCAACTATTCTTGATTCTATTGACCTATCATTTACAACAAATATTATTGGTTTGATAATTGCAATCTAATAAATTAAATGGCATTATGTATCGAAGAAGACATACTGAACTTTTATGTTTTTTTCATTCAAACGACTCATGACTAATTTCCAGATTTCCTCTAAATCCTTATGTGGCAAAAGGTCTTTAATCTATCATAATAATTATTTAGAGAATTCAATCAAAGAATTGTATTTATAAAATCAAAAAACAAACTTACTACATCATTGATCCTATTTTCTGTATCTATCGTGAATTGATTTATATTATTAGTTTGTGAGCTAGTTCCTATTTCCATAGTGTTAATCTATATAATTATGCATAATAGAGTAAATAACTTCAATTACAATTTTAATTTTATCTTTCTACTAATTTTATAAATCCTACAATGATATTAGAGTCAAATTCATCATTATAATAGTTTCTTTTGGAACTACCAGCTTCATCACTATCAATAATCTGTAAAATAATAATTAAATTTTTAAAAATGTATTTGCAATTAATAAAAAACTAATTCAAAAGATTAATCATTAATTTTTTTAGAAGTATAGCAACAATTCAACTATTTTGTAACCTACATTAAGAAACTGATTTGGTTCTAATATGTCATTATCTTCTGTAAATAATCCAAACTCAGTCTAAAAAAACTATATTAATTAGATTTTTATAAAAGCTGTACAATTTACATAAAATATAAATACTATACATTATTTTCCGATTGTTGTTCAGAAGGACTTTGATCAATACCATTATTCGAATTCTATAAAAAATGCAAAAGAATAAATAAAAATTAAAAAAAACTAACATAATAATAATAAACAATAATAAGAAAAACTCACAGCATAAACATCAAATCTTTTATTTATTTGATCATTTTGTTCTGCTCTTTGAAAATCAAGTTGTGTTTTATTTGTATTAATTGCTCTTACCTAAATAAACATTATGTTGTTGATAAAAAAAAAAAAAAAAGAAAAAAAATCAAGTGTAGCCTAAAAGGATTTTTTCTTACTCTTGCTCGTAATCTTCTTATATGTAATAAAGCATCTCCTATGACTTTTAAACAACTTTCTTTCTGCTAAGGTCATTTAAAAATATATATATATTAATTGAATTGTAATAAAAAGCAAATACGATCAAATAATAAAATGCCTTACAATTCGTTTATCAACAATATCATGAACATACTGTATAACATCATTGTCAATGTGTTTGATTGCAATTATATCACTAAGATTTTTATAATATATATCGAACACTTGCTGTGGTGTAATGATAGGATTTACTTTATAGATGAATCTTGTAAATAAGTCGACAGAACTCCACTTGATTAACCATGTTTTAGCGAAAAATTGACTTATTCCAGAGTAAGGGTAACAAAATTTTATATCCAGTGTGAATTTTTCAACTTTGGTCATCTATTTTTCATAGAAAAGAGTTTGATTAATAGAGGAATAATGATGTTCATATACCAATAATTCTTTTCAGCTCCGCATCCGAGTGCAAGTTATTCAGTCGCAATTATGTGGTTGAACACATAAAAGTTCCAGGCAATCCCTTCTATGACTTTAGCTATCACTTTCGTGTTGGACGATCATGTAGAAAAGCAGACCTCCTGAACACAGACCAACACCCTCCCCAAAAGTGAGCCTTTCCGCCAACCACTTATCTTACACGTGTGTTGAACACGGAAGATTTGCACGTAAACCCTGGGGCGTTAGCATTCCAGCATCCAGTCCGTCTGGCCAAGTTGTCCGTCTTGTTGTGTTGAACTCCAAGGGAGGGTTTGGCGATCCCCGTGCAACAAAAGTGGCGCGTGTACATTGTAAACAGAAATTAATGCTGAAATACTTAACTTTTTAGTAACTTTTACGAGTAGGGAAAAAAGCACCTCGGTTTTTTTAAATATATAATTATCGAACACGTCAAATTTATGTGATGACAATGTGTCACGCAGATCACAGGGATAAAAAGCACGGATATTACACTTTTACAAATGAAAGTTCGTACTACATTAGCACAGTTAATTTGGCATTGTAAGTACGTAATTTAGGGCAAGTAAATTAGGACAGCATAAGAAATTTCACAATGAATTAAAGAAAGAAGTTAGTCAGAAAGATACGAAGACATTTTTTTTTTTTTGAAACGATTATTAAATCAAACTGGAAGTCCTATTTATTTGAACATATATATACAGTATAAATAATAGAATTTGTAAAAATTAGATTGTTTAATTCATACTGTAACATTCTTAAATACGTATTTGTCACTCGATCAACTGGCACTAACGCTCAACTATGGAAAACACTATATGGGATATTGCCTCGCTGCCCACGTGGTCTACAGCCCTTTCCTAGCATCGTTCACTGATTTCATACCAGTTTCTCTCCTCTTTTGATATCCGATCTGTATAGTCGGGCTATCAAAGCACTAATCTCTGATATCCGGATTGTTCACCCGGGCTATCAACCATTTCCAAACCCAACTATCCTTTAAATCCTAACCACTCCTACTCGCGGTGGGTTGGGTGGGTTGGGATCGACGAAGCTAGACTTGTGTCGAGCTAGCAGCAAAGACAAAAGAGGAAGAACGAATTCCCAACCCTTCTTGCTTAAATAGTCATTTACTATGACCTCATTGTACAATACATCATACTTACAAACTATCCATTGTTACCCCTTAATCAATTAAACTCATACTCATCGAACAATACATCATACTTACCAAATACTTATAACCATCTATACTTACAAACCGAACATTCAGTATCCCGGGCCTGGGTCAAGATCTCGTGACAAATGGATGCCTCGTGACTTCGTTCACGGCATCACATACAATTGTATTTTTTAATGTTACGCAACTACGTATAAAATTATTCTCAGGACACAAACTAGTTTTTTAACATGATCGACATCTATATGAATGTTTCATAGTAATAGTAAAATAGTAAAATGCAACGATAGACCTTTTTCAAGCGCCATTTTCAGGAATTTCTTAAAAGAAAACTAGTTCAACAACACTAATACTTTCTTATTTTTATATTTAAAGCGAGATAGTAATAGATCTGAAAAAAACGCAGCCCTTAAAGTTGGCTTTTCATTTTCATTTTTTAAATATAGTATTCACTTTCTATTTCGCTTTTATAATTACATTATCCATCCATACTGATAGGTAGATTGAAGATAATATCGATATAAATTTTTGTCAAATCAAAATTGATATTTTTTGGATTTTGAATATAATTCAGTAAACACCGGAATTATAACTCCAAAAGTTCAAATTGTGAAAATGTAAAACGCATAAGTACGTACAACTGTACTTACGTAAAATCAAAAAATGAGAAAAATCTTAACATTATACTCTTATTTATAATGTCTCCTAGTCTTTATTTATCATAGTCGCTTTGAAAGAAGTCGGTTAAATACGCCGCTTTGGCGTTACAAAAATACATAAATGTAGATAATAGAAAATATATAAAAACTTAGAGATTCCGAAAAGAAAGGATTATTTATGTAAATTCTATAAATTCCCTTAGCCAAGAAAATATATATGTGATTTAAAAAGTATAGGGTGTATTACAGTAAACAAAAAGTGCGACAAACAATAAAGATGCTTATTTGCGAAATCGAGTTAAAGATTTTGCCGTAACGAATTGACGATTAGCAACTTAGCGATATAAAAGCCTTATCGATCTATGTGCCAAATAATAAAGATGCTATTTGCGAAACTGAGCTAATGCTGTGACAATACTGTATGAATCGAATCGAAAATTGCCTAGTGATGAAAATTTAATGGTATAAAATAATAAGACGCCATTTGCGAAGCCGAGTTGAAGATTTAAATTCAATGCCGTGACAGTCGGTATTTATCGAATTGAAAATTGATTAATAATAGCAATTTGGTGGTATAAAAGCTTCATCGATCAGAATTATTATCAGGATTATCGGGAGAAAAGATATCGATTATTATAGTCATTGTGCATATATTCATTACTGTAACGAATTAATTTCTTTGTTTTACCTTCAAATCCATTCGTATGCACCGAAGTCACATATGAATTACTTATATTATGCTGATAACCTATATATAGTATATTATAATAACGAGAAATGTTAATTCTAAACCATACTATACATTTGATAAGAAAAAGTCACTAGAATTTAATTTTCAAAGGATGAATACTATGCAACGAATAAAACTTCCATTTCATATGATTTGTACCTGGTGTTGCAATAATTGAAGGATTTCGCGGTAGTGAATTATTTTCTCTATTTGGATTTACTAGCGTTTGCTGTCCTATATTTAACGTTAAAAGATAATAAGATAAGTATCATTCTATTATTTTGTTTATTGTGAAGATCTTATAACGATAATGACTGGTGTTATTCACAATGTTATAACCTTAAAAATTTCTTTACGTGACATTATTTAGTAACGAGATTATACAGTACCTTGTGACATATCGACATTTGGTGTTTGAGCAGTAATAGTTTGGTGTTGGTGGCCTATTGTAACATTATTTACGTGAAAACAAATCTTTAGTAAATATTTTACATTTTAAAGTAAAAATATTGTTTATATATATGTATCTCTCTATACGATGGAAAGTAGGGATGTTAGCAGACCAGTCTGGTTCAGCCTGGTCTATTTTGATCAAGTCTTGACCCGCTCCAGTCTTAAAAGGTTTGAATAGGGATGTTAAACATTAACGTCCCTTTCAGAATGTGACCATAGAAATAACCTCCCATACAGAGTTTAGAGACGCTTTATTTTTCATACGTTACTGGTTTAACGTAGGAAAATAAAACCGCCTCCGAACTCCACTTCCCACAATCTTGATATCGTCATGCAGACGATAGTGATAGTTACACTTGAATTCAATTACTAATATTTTCATTTTCATACAGTAATTACCTTGTAAGAATTGTTGGCTATAATTTTGATACTGTAGATTTAATATTGGGATAACCAGATCCCAATTTTCCATTTCACCTTGGTCTATATCACATTAGAAAGAAACGATCAATATCATTGTAATGATCTGTAGAGTTGTTATGATTCAAACTACAGAAATAAACATACTCAGCAATTGTGGAGCGGTCTGATGACCAGTGGTCGTGTACAAATCGAATGGTGGACTCATCCCATAAGATAGCAACCAACCTTGAGCACCAATAGTTATTAATCTTATATAATTTATGCACATATAAAATAAAGCACGTTCGAGCAATGGCTACATTTCTTACTATCATAATCTTGATAGCCTACGCATGAACCATTCGGATTTTCTACATAATATATAGCGCATGTTAATCATTTATTTATTTTGACGGTACGTACATAACAATAGGTAATTTAATCTGCACCTGCATATCGATATGCATCTGAATTGGATTGAGTTAAAATTCCCAGGCCTAATTAATATTAAGGGTTTAATATCGATATATTTAAACGTTAACGTTAATCCATCTATATTTGTTTAGTCTAACGAAAAGTAATGGCGGGTACTTTTTTATAATAAAAATTTTTATGTTAAGACGTAAATAGAAGTCCTGGAATTACTTTTCGTGACTGTAAAATAATTTTCTTATAAAATTGGACATGTAAAGGCGCTAACACTGCCTTCTAGCAAATATATATGTATTGTAATTGTCACTACTGTTACTGAAATTGGCCTAAATTTCTATTGAAGAGCGACATTCCTTAAATTTCGAAGATACATAGTTTACCTTGTAATGATGCTCCCGCTATATCAACTAATTGTGCACAGTATGTCCCGTCGGGTCCAAAAACATTAGAATATGAATTGCCATTTACAATATTGGGAATATTAATATTAGGCCTGAACATTGAACATGTTGGACATTGAAAAATGATATTAGAAATTGGTGATGTTACACCAAATGATGAATCAAGATTGTTATTTTGGTTTTGTGGAACTAGATTTCACATTAAAGATATAAAATAAGAAAATATAACTGTTTGCATATATTTATCGAATAAAGTATTAATTTTTACTTTGTGTCGTATCCGACAAGAGCTCGTATGACAAAAGAGGGACTTGTTGCCGACCCACCCGATCCCCAGTTCGGTATGGCGCGTTTTCTACTTTTCTAGGCCTCCTATTCACTCTAACATTAGTTCGGTGACCTATTTTGTAATATAAAACAAAGCAACATGAGCAAATGACTTATTTTACAAAGAGTTGATGATAATCATATACTGTACATAAAATACTGTTGTAACATATTTGCATATAGTGAATTTTGAATCTTACCTTTAGATAATGTAAAAGAACTTTGTGATGCTATATTTCACATTAGATAAAAGTTTTAAGGTAACACATTAGAAAATATAAAATATTAAATTGCCATAAAAGATGTGTTTTCTCATTAAGGATTTACACATAGCTAACGAAGCAACGATTTCTTGACATTAAAAAAATATATTAGATATTACGAAATTTCGGTCATATTGTAATTTATAATAGTTCAACATACTATTATATATTTATTACACATTTAGTGTACGCTTCGTAAATTTCGATAATAGTTTTGACATGAATATTTTTTTCTTACTTCTATAAACGAGTTCGTACCTGTTAAAGATTTCGTACGCACGCAATCATTGCCATTTTTATCACAATTGTAGCAAGGAGTAGAATCATCGCATTTAATTTTCTTTCGACGGCAT